AAGGAAGGAAGGAAGGAAGGACAATCACAAAAATATGTTGAACTTTCAGGAGGAGAAAATAGAACCGTGGTTACTGGAGGTGACAAAAAGGTAGGAGGAGGGGGTCAGCAAGAATTCGGCTAGTGGACACAGAAAATGATTGTGTTTTTTAATGATGAAAATCCTAATCATGCTGACTTGATCATCATACATTGTACACAAATATTGACAGTCAACTCTGTGCCCTGCAAATATGTATAATTAATTGTTTCCAAAAAAAAGTTTTTAAAAGATGTTACAGTGATAAGTGAACTGAAAAATAAATAAAATCAAACTCTCTGCCAATTTACACCCCAACTGTAAAAGAAAATGAACAAATAAGAAGTAAGTGGGAGTCCCCTTGTCCAACAGAGACATTTCCATTGAGATCTCCCCCTCATTATCTTAATTAACACAATTTTCACACGAGGGGAAGATTTTCCACAGAAATGTACTTTGCAGCAAAATTTAACATAGTAAGATTATTTTTCTAGCCCTTTGTTTTTCAGAGCTAACTCCTTTGGGAGAATAAGCTTTTCTCACCCAGTCACTATCAAAAGGATGATATAAGAATGACACCTGCCTTCTTCCAATGACTCATCAAGGGATGAATCTTCATGTTAGATCCACATTTTATTATCTACAGGGCTCATAAGATAAGAGGTTCTCTCAGCTCTGCTGCAAAATTTTGGCAGAATTTTTCCTCCTGGATTTTACTATATTAATTACCTAAAACAATTCCCAGTGTCGATGCAGATGTTTATTTTCAGGAAACACATCTTGATTCAGTTCCTCGTGCTGCTCTTCATCTCTTAGTCAAAACGTTCACAACCCTGACAGCACATTAGAATTACCTGACAGGAGTTTTGTACTGTGTTTGGATTTTAGGAAACCGTAGGAAGACTTAATTATTCAGCTACTGCATTAGGTAAGCCAGCATTCTGAACTTCTTTACCTTGAACGCTAAGAGTTGCACTAAAATTTATATCCCTAGAAAAATCATACTTTAAAAATTGAGAATGAAACTGAGGAGGTGATTGATAAAATATGGATTATCATTAACTTTTATGTAGCCCTCATATGAATGTTCTCACTATCTATACTATTAAGTTTCACAAAGTTTGATACAAACTCACATGATGTCCACATAAACACAGAAAGGACAATTGCCATCTCCAAACCACATCACATTTGACATTTCTAATATTCTTTAACATGGGCATCAGAAACTTAAAGAATGTATAAGATGGCTAACAAATCCAGACAGCAAAGACATTTGCAGTCAAAACTTCATTTTCCTTAAAGGGCAAACATATCTATGAAACCAAGCATTTTTTTTGTTGTTGTTGTTTACTCACGAATATAAGGCAATATTGTAATTATTAAGGATGATGATTCCAACTCCTGACTTATAAGAAGTTTGGTGCTTTGAAAATGGCATTATGGTGCTACTGTGTGTGCCAGATCCCAAGGCTTATGGAAAATCAAAGAGACATAATATAAAGCTAAAGCAGACAGAAGTTGATTCGAAGAATGCAGATGGATAGAGAGCAAACATCACTTGATGTGTCTGTGCCTGGAAAGTTGAATAAATTCACTGGGTTCCCAGAGAGCAAATAGGAAGAACAGTCAAAGCAAGTGACTACAGACAGGGAAGTGGGGTTGCCAGCAGCAATGATGATCGTCTGCATAGTTTTTCAAGAAGGAATATCTGACAGTGACATTTGGTGAACTAAGTACTGAGGAGGTGAGTAATGGTCACTTGGAGAAAAAAATCTACCTCCTGAAAAGTCTCCCCAAGGCCCCCTTCATGTCTCTGTTCCTCAGGCTGTAGATGAAGGGGTTCAGCATAGGAGTTACCACTGTATACATCACTGAAGCAACGATGTCTTTGTCATTGGAGTTGTTTGATGATGGGAAAATGTACAGTACCATAATTGTCCCATAGAATAGAAAAACCACAGAGAGGTGGGAGACGCAGGTGGACAAGGCTTTGCAGATCCCTTTGGTAGAGGGAACTCTCAGGATGGAAACTCCAATACGGACTTGAGAGATTAGGATGCCAATCAGTGGTATGATGATTCCCAGTGCCCCCACAGTGAAGATGACCAGCTCATTGACAGAGGTGTCAGAGCAGGACAATTTGAGCAAAGCAGCAAGATCACAAAAGAAATGAGACACTGTGTTATTAGGAGATGAGGGCAGAAGGACTCCAGGGTTGCAACCAGCCCCGGCTCTGGTTGTGTGAGAACCCCCTCACCACCCCATTCAAGGAGTCTTAGAGGGAATATCTGGAAACGAGCTCTAGAAAGAAGGACAAACTTTTTGTTTCAAGTCAGAAAAGAAATAGAATCCTCAAGTAGTACCAAGATGTGGTATGCTGCTCTAAATTATTCACCTCTGTACTTACCAGCTGCTGAAGCCTAGGACAGTTTGATCCCATGAAAGATGGTCAATAGTTATTTGTTGAAAAAGAACAGGAATCATAAAACATTTTAAGATGAGTTGAGCCTGGGAAACAAACTGTAACAAGAGGCAGGTTTAGGCAGCCAGGGGACACTTGGTCAGATACAAGGAATCAAAAATACATGGCCCTTATTTTCTTAAATAATATCTTTAGTATTTCGAAGATTCTTGGAGACAGAAAGAACCTCATATGCCAATAAACATCATTTTCTTCATCTCTGAAACTAATTTAAACTCCTGGTGCCCCTTTTAGATCTGAAGGCAAACCCATAGGCAAGTAAGGAAAGAGGGCTGCAGTCTTCTCCCCCACTAGTCACAGAAAGAACAGTGCATTGAACGTTTCAGACCAGCAGGAGGCAGAGGCAGCACAAGGGGCTCCAACACCCTCCCTGGTGAAATCACTGCAAACCATGGGAAGTCGGAAAACCAGACTGGAAATGTAAACATTGAATGTCAGTCTTCTGATGGGGAACTCCACCTAGTCTGCATCTCCTGAAAGGTAACCTGCATCCTTTATTGCTTTGTCCTGACCTCCATTTAGTGCTATAAACAAGACAGGTGTCCCTAAACTGTTGATGATTGGTAAGTTACTAACCTGGAATGAAAGTGTCATGAAAGCCAGGACTTGTCTTTTTCAGTGATGTATCCCTAGCACATAAAATACCTCCCAGCACAGTAAATATTTGTTAAACAAAAGAATCTCAGAAAAAATATTTTTTTAACTTCCAAGTTGAAGGAGGAATAAAGAATGACAATAGTCATGATAATAATTGTTATCATTTATTGAACATCTACTGTTATTTGCCACTATACTAGATGCATTTCATAGTTTATCTCAGTCTCCAAATCACCTTACTAGATGGAAACTATGATCTTCATTTAACAGATGAGAAAACTAAGGCTCACAGAGGTCCAGTACCTGAACTACAATCTTATGACTAGTGTGTGGCAGACCCAAAACTGAAGCCAGTTTCTCTGATTCCAAGCCTGTGTCTTTTCATTAGACATTGCTGTCACCATATCCAAAGGAAAAAAATTCTCCTGAGACTGAAGAGCCTCTTTAGGGCCCCCTTCATGTCCTCATTTCTTAGGCTGTAGATAAAGGGGTTCAGCAAAGGAATCACTATGGTGTACACTGCAGCTGCTGCAATGTCCTTCTCTTCAGAGGCAACAGAGGGAGGGCACAGGTAGGCACTGAAGAGGGTCCCATAGAACACACAGACAGCACAGAGATGGGAGCTGCAGGTGGAAAAGGCCTTACCCCTGCCACCAGGGCTCCGGACCCTCAGGATAGCCGATACAATGTGGATGTAGGAGATGACAATGCATATAAAGGGGACGATGAGCACTGTGCCTCCTAAGAAAAAACCATCAACTCGTTGATGCGGGTGTCAGAACATGACAGCTTCAGGACAGGAGTTATGTCACAGAAAAAGTGAGCTATTTCTCCAACAACGCAGAAAGACAGCCGAGCCATGAGGATGGTGTGAGTCAGGGCCACAGTGTTGGTGAGGACCCAGCACAGTGCAAGCAGCAGGGCACAGACTCGGGGGCTCATGACCGTGGAGTAGTGGAAAGGGCGGCAAATGGCCACGTAGCGGTCATATGCCATTACAGCCAGGAAGAAGCTGTCCAGGTCACCAAACATCAGAAAGAAATACATTTGCGTGAGGAAATCAGTACGGGAGATGCTGTGATGCTGAGTCTGGGCGTTCACCAGCATCTTGGGAGCTGTGGACGATGTTAAACCCATGTCGGCAAAAGACAGGTTGGCCAGGAAGAAGTACATGGGGGTGTGGAGGTGCGGGTCAGAGCCGATGGCCAGGATGACGAGCACATTCCCAGTCAAGGTGACAAGATACATACACAGGAAAAGTCCAAACAGTAACTGCTGTTGCTCTGGAGACTCAGATATTCCCTGGAGGAAAAACTCAGAGGCGCTGGATTGGTTTTGATGACTCTGCAGCATCTGGAGGCGAGGGAGGACGGTTGAATGATAGGTTTCTTCTAAACCTGCATGTGCTCACTCCCGATTCTCCCAGCTCCCAAATCTCCCTTTGAATTCATCATTACCCCAATCCTGACTTTAACTTCGATCTGACCCTACTTCTTTCCTTTCTCTCTTTCTCAGGAATCTCATGTGTTTTTCCTTTCCTCTCTCTTTCCCTCTATTTATTCTTTACACAGACAGTATCTTCCAATCAGGCTCTGGGCATGCTTAGCCCTGCTATGACCATGCCTTGGACTAAGTCTACAGCCCCATATCAGTTTCATCATTGCAGCAGGACGTATGCATGAGTACGTGAGTATACTGAGGTGAGCTAATCTCACATTCTCTTAGGAGGTATCTCAAAATCCCACACAATATTCTTCCTTTAGAAAACCCTCATGATATCTCACTTTATTTTATTTATTTATTCATTTATTTATAGATAATTTATTATATATACATGTGGGTGTAACGCTGGTTCTCAATAATTGTGTACAGTGTGTGGTGGTTAGGTCATTATAGTTAGCTTAGTCATCATTATGATACGCAATCATTCTTTGTGTCTGTTGCCCAATTCCTAATTATACCTCCACCCTTTCCTCTCCGCTCCCCCTTTCCACCTCTAGTTCTCTAAAAGTTCAATGTATGGCTGTGATTATTTTTTCTTTCTATCTCATTTTAAAGTGAAGGGCATGTAAAGGACCCTTTATTGCTTCATCATTTCTTCTGAGATAGAAAATAAGAAGTCCTGCACTTTCTCCCTGCACTTGAGTTTTTTTCATTGGTTTCATCACCAACCTGCAGCTAACCTTTCTAGCCACTTGTATGTCAGGAACTTTAAGTAAATTGGGTAAGCACTTTATGTAAATTCTCCTTTAATTTTTAAGTTTTTTGTTTTCAGCAGTTGACCAGAACAAGGATCCAGACCCTTGACCTTTGTGTTATCAGCACCATGCTCTCCCAAGTAAGCTAAGTGGCCAACCCCGTTTCCTTTAATTATTAAACACTAGGACACAGAGATTATTATACTGACCATTGTATAACTGAGACTAGGGATGTTTGAGTAATTTGCATAGGAACCAACAGCTCAAAATTACAGAATCAAACCCAAACTCATAGCATTGGACTCCAGAGACTACACCATCAATTAATACAGTAGAAAAAGCCCAGCTTTTTACCTTCTGTCTTTTTTTCTCTCTACTAAAGCACCTTGAGCTAGTATCTCTTGCCCTATTTTTTGGTTCTTCCTTTCTCTAAAAGGGTTTCTCATCCTTCATTTTATCTATGGATTCAGAAACCTCTGTAGATCCTTGAGACATCAATGAGGTACTTCCATCATGGGGCAATCTCTCCGTCTGTCACTCCAGGGTGATGAGGTCCCTTTACTTACCTCCAATGTCTCTCCATCTACTGTGTCATTAAACAGGCAAAGGCTGGCTTGGACATGATGAAGAGATTATTCCAGAGGTAGGACCTGCCAGCCTGCAATTGTTTGTCTCAAGTTTCTCTACTTAATGCTACTGTGGTTACTGAGAAGACAATGCAGATGCCTTGATTTGGGTGGTAGAGCTCAGATTCCTCCTGACAATCTTCGTGATGGGCTTCACTGCAGTCAGGGTTCAGGATCAAGAATAATAAATACACGTGGCAAACAGCCAGAAGCAAAAGTCAGATTGTTCACTTGAGGTTAAATACATAGTTTAGGGGGGATAAAGGAAAAGAGAGAGACTAGAAGTCCAGGTGAGGAGCCCAAAAGTTTAACTAAGGACCGTAAAGCCAAGTCAAGGCCAGATCTGAAGGGGAAGCTGGAGCAGTCACAGTTACGTCAGCTGGACCAGAGAAGACCAGAAAGAAGAGGTTCTGCACTGAGTATTTGAGATGACCTGGGACACATGGTACTCTGATCCCACCTGCCCCAGGTCTTCGGAGATTTTGAAGTATCTTATATTTACGTTTTGAAACCTGAACAGATAGAATCAGATATAGGGAGCTGCTGGCTCATCAAGCTAAACCAGAAGGAGGCTGAACATGCTGTATTTAGGTATCTACAGATACAGGGAATCATGGGACAGAGTTCCCCAGAGCCTCATTAGTGTTAAGAGATTCAGTTTCCCTCTGAATGTCTTATAATAGACCAAATTAGTACTGTGCTGACTTCATTTAAAATTCAGGAAGCTTTACTTTTTTCTCTATGTTAAGTGGTAGTATTAAGGAGATATGCTATTTGTATTGATTATTAACCACAGTCTATGGTAAAAATCCACTTTTTGTGTAATAAAACTCTTAGCTGCCCCCTTGCAAAAAGGTTTCAGCCCCTAAGCTTTTTCTTTAAAGAAATTCAAGAATTGTCAATATCTACTTTGTACAAACAGCTTAATGGCATATGACATATCTTTCTTAAAGCATTCTTGTGCTTCTGGTTAACGATGTTATACTAAATGCATCCATCTAATTTCACTCCCTTCTTAAATTCTACTAAAAGTAAAGTAATTTATTAATGAGACCTAAAACCCATAAGGACAGAGAAGAGAGGAAAGCAAACAATAGTAACAAAATTTTGGAAGTGGGAAACCAGGTGGATGAGTGAGTGGTGACCAAGACACCCTCAACATTGTCCTCAACTTGACTCAACTTCAGAGAGACTTCTTGACTGTAGGCCCTTGACCTGCATTTTCCTTACATTTACTTTAGAAAACTGGCAATTGTAAATTCTTTCTCTGCTTATTTGAGACATAAATCTTCTCCCAGACTCTTGTCAGTTACAACCCAAAATGTCTTTCTCAAAGACCTGGTAGCCCTCCCTTTGAAATGTAATCATCAAAAAAGGTAGCACACCTATCTCTCAGTCTCTGCAGAGGAGTAGAGGCCTAATTTCCATAAGCTCCAATTAGCAAACAGAGATGACCTAATTACATTTTCCAACCTCACCCTAACTCCCTTCAGTACTTTTCTACTAGATCACCCCAGCTTTTAAAAATCCTCATGCCTTTTGTTTCAGCAGAGTTCAGTTCAGTCTCTCTCCCCTATGACAGCAATTTTGACCCCTATTGAAACAATCTTGAATAAAGTCTTCTTTGCCGGTTTAACCCTGTGCAGTGCTATTTTTCTTTAACAGTTAACTGGGTTGAAAGACATAGAAAAGCTAAATCCTAAACTGGAAGTAGATAAAATAGAAGAAGGGTTGAAAGACATAGAAAAGCTAAATCCTAAACTGGCAGTAGATAAAATAGAAGAGACAGTATGATTGACACCAAAGAATCCTTAAAAGGCCTTGAAACTGTAAGCCCCTGGTAGCCCTGCATCTGGAAGTGAAAGGGAAATAAGCTAAGAAGAGAGGTGATAGCCATTTTAGAAAAACTTGGACCCTAAATCCCCTTTTCCTCCACACAACTGAAATACTGCCCATCTCTAACCCCAGCAGAAGTAGGAGATTTACTTTCTGGAGAATATTGGAGTAGGAGTTGCCATATACAGCTGAGATTAGTGAACCATATCAAAACTAAAGGAATTACATGAATGTTTAAGGGTACTTCAGAAAGTTTGAGGAAAAGTAGAATTAAAAGGCAACATGAATCTTTCCGTGAGCTTTTGAAGACAATGTACATGCACACCAACTGCCGAACACTGAAACACACAGCCCTTGATCTGCATTTAGCTTCCAAACCTCCAACCTGAATACGGAATGTTAAAATTTTTTTTTTTTACTTTGGAGTCTGACTAGTCCAAGAAGAAAGAACTAAAGATACTGACATTGGCAATTCTTTTGCCAAAACACTTCCCAGCCAGATCACCCTACAGTGAAACTCAAATTTGATAGCTCCATCCATAAGAACAGAGTTTCCAGTCAGTTCCCAAAAAATGTTATTGTGTTATGGCATATAGCAGCAAGGTACATAAATCTGAAGTGCACAGCTCAACGATTTTTCCATATGTGTGCACCAAAGTAACCACCTACAGATCACGGTATGTAACATTTCCATCAAGTGAGAACACCCCCTTTCCCCTTCTGAGGCACCATCCTCTTAGGCATAACCACGCTTGTGATTCACAGCACCTAAGATTGGTTTTGCCTGTTCCTGAAGTTCACATGAAAGGAGTCATCCGGTAGCACTCTTGTGTTTGGCTTCTTTAGCTCAACATTACATCTGTCAGATTTAATCATGTTGTTACATATGATGGACATTAGTTCTTTTTATGGCTATATAACATTTCATTACACAAATAACTCATAATTTATTCATTTTCCTGCAGATGAACAGATGGATTGCTTTCAGTTTTTTGGTTATTATGATTACAGCTGACAAGAGCATCTTTAAACCTTTTGTGGGTCCTTTCTCTTGAGTATATACCTGAAATATCAATGATATTTCTGGGCATTAAGTTAATCAATATTTAGTGTTGGCAGATTGTTGGGCGTCTCCGGCAGCCACACGGGACCCCAACAGGTTTTTCCTTTCACTAGAGGGTTGGGGCCAAAGGGATTGCCCTTTTCTCCCCCCGCCAGGAGGAGGGGCGAAAAGAGATTCCAAGAGATGGGTGAGCACGCCACTGCTCTCCCAGATAGGGAACAAACACACACACACACATGCAGCGGGAGTTCTGTCAGGCAGTTCCGTTTATTGTAACACAAAAGATCATATTTATATGCTTAGCAGGTGGGGATTTCTAAGCTTAGGCCAATCCTTGAAAAAGTCAAATGTGCATGTGCCTTACCTCTGTATGCTTAGCCCTTCCCCTTAACTTCCCTTGGGTGCCACCTTTTATCCGTTTAGGCCATCTGTTGTTTTTGCTTAGAAAAAGGGCACAGTCCCAGCAGATATAGACAAACTGTTTTTCAGAATGTTTATGTCCATTTTCACTCTCACTCAAAATAATCGAGAGCTACAGTTGCTCCATATTCTTGAGAAAAATATTAGTTTCAGTCTTTTTTCCCAAAATTTTATTATGAAAAATTTCAAGCATAAAGCAAACTTGAAAGA